AAATGTACGATATTAACCATAAATAACTCTCTATAAAATTGTCACTGCTCAAACAAACCATAATTTTTTATAGTTTTCAATTTTGTTTGGTTACAGAGCTATCAAATAGAAAATCAGACCCCTCCTGTCACATCCTTTCTTTCAGAATTTGTTAATAATTCTCTCTTATGTTTAATTATATATTACCTGTAACCAATAGAAAGTCAAGGTTTTCATCTATCAGTGACGTATTGTATAATGTTATGTTCTGAATTGTTAAATGTCAAGTTCACTCAGAGTACCAACATCATTTCCATGAGAAAATTAATGATTAGCTTGGATGAATTTGTGACGACTTTTATTGCATAGCTAGAAAGCCAGAACAATTTTGAGAGGTAAGGGAATTTGTCTACTTTTTGCATCTTATTAGTCTGTATTCTTTGGTGCATTATTTAATTAAACAAAATGTATTAAGTGCATTACTATCATTAGTATAAAAAAATTAGGGTTAGTGCTCTTTGACAATTGTCAGCAAGAAAAAAGAAGATTGTTAAGTATTTTATTTCTTGTTTTTCATGTTTATTCTTTATGTATAGTTATAAAATTAACTAAAATGTAAGAATAGGGATCCTTTTAAATTAGTTAATATCAGATTAGGTAAAATAAATAATAATATTATTATAATAAAAATGTTTCATGAGGCACACACTCGAGCAGCTCATAGTAGCTTGTGGGTAATGCAATTTGGTAGCGTAACATGAGTTGCACATTCCCCAAGTGATTTACAACTTGTAATGGCAGGGATAGTAGTTGGACCTGGTTCAAAGAGCAATAAAATTTAATTATATGATTTAATTATCAGATCTTACTTCACCTATTTGGTCTGTAAAGTATATTTACATTCCCCTTTTGTTGTTACTTCTTGTTTCATACAACAATTTTAGCAATTTGATCACTGAGCTTTGCAGCTCTCTGACGCAGACAGACTGTTTGTTGTCGAGTGAATAATGCGCATGCGTGGTTTTTCATGGGGAAACATTCTAACTATGCATGCTTATGCAGCAGGTTCTGAGTCAAGAAGTGTAACGGTCATACATACAAACAAGCAGAATAATAGTATAGATTTTATTCTAATTATCAGATCTTACTTCACCTATTTGGTCTGTGATGTTTATGCAGAATTCCACAGGAATTGTATAAAGAGTACAGGTACAGCAGGGTTTTGTATTTTTAATTTGATAACACCACATGAATACCTTTTGTTTTTAGACTACTTTTTTTCCTGGTTCTTTTATGAAAGCAGATTCCCTTCTTCCTTTTGTTATTGAGTTTCTTCTTTTGTGTTTTGCCTATTCTTTGATCCTTCATAATTTTATAGAATCGAGAATGAAAATATAAAATAGTTTTCATGAAATGTTGGTATCTAGTATCTCATTCTCATAGCTTTATTTTCTCACTTTTGTGCAAGTTTCTTACTAAAGACCATATGCTGTGACAATATATATATATAAACTATATTTGAATGTAGTTTAGTTATTATAAGAGTGCAAGCAACATAAAATAAGTTATAAAATTATCTTGGAATAACTTAACGATTTTCTACAATTTAGGTAAATTCTGCTACAACATATTTAGAATTGTGTGAAAATGTATTTAGTGGTATATGAGACAAAGTGGCACATAAATCCATTACCTAAGTAAATGTTTAGTACTGTCATCAGTTAATGTTTTGGCACATAAATCCATTACCTAAATAAATGTTTAGTAATGTCATTAATACATAAATCCATTACCTAAGTAAATGTTTAGTAATGTCATCAGCACATAAATCCATTACCTAAGTAAATGCTTAGTAATGTCATCAGCACATAAATCCATTACCTAAGTAAATGTTTAGTAATGTCATCAGCACATAAATCCATTACCTAAGTAAATGATTTTTCTTTCTCATGTCTAAAACAATCTAAAATGTATACTTCTTCAGCTTCCTCACACTAATGATATTGATAAAACTATATGAATGTAAAAGTGGAACAAAGAAGCTGTAGAATAAGTAAATTAACTTGTAGTATTCCAACAGGGATAGAAGCTTTGATCTGACGCACTGTGTATCCAAATATAATATTTTGCAGAATCGTCAACAGCATAAAAATATGGATACAATTAGGAGAAATTGTGCATTTATAATCATATTTTTGTACGAAAAACATTAACTGATGACATTACTAAAAATTTACTTAGGTAATGGATTTATGTACTGATGACATTACTAAACATTTACTTAGGTAATGGATTTATGTACTGATGACATTACTAAACATTTACTTAGGTAATGGATTTATGTACTGCTGACGTTACTAAATCAATCTACTCTTCAGTAAAAATGGTTAACTGTATGATCCTTTACTCAACTGCAATCAATCTACTCTTTAGTAAAAATGGTTAACTGCATGATCCTTTACTCAACTGCAAGTCAATCTACTCTTCAGTAAAAATGGTTAACTGTATAATCCTTTACTCAACTGCAAGTCAATCTACTCTTCAGTAAAAATGGTTAACTGTATGATCCTTTACTCAACTGCAAATCTTTAAGTGATTTCTGTTTATTATTTTAATATGGTTATTCTACTGAACCTAGCTGTATGTTTTATGTGTCTTACTTTAATTTTCCGTTATTTTCTGTACTATATATTTCTCCTCTTTGACAAAATGTCTTCTGCAGTATATTTAGCTTCATCTGTTGTACATCTTTGTTTACTGTGCATTCAAGCTGCTATTAACCATCATCTGTTTGTGAAATATTTATAGCATTACCTTTTTTTATCAAGTAGTTTGTATCTACTTCTGAATAGAGAAAAATATAACAGCATCAAGTAAAGTTAATCTCTTTGTGTCATTACTTTTATTTGGATCAAAAAATTTGAAGTTAGAATGTGAAGGTTTCAGGAGACCATGAAGTGTCATCAGACAATAATTTTATTTTCCATTGCTTTCATAAAACGTGCTAGAGTCCTTATATTTGGATAAACGTTCTTCAAACCAAAATTGCAAGTGTCAGAAAGTTATAATGGTGAAAGTTTCCGACTAACCATGTTTCACTCGATAGCATTTATAATAGGTAGTTAGTGTTTCAAAAATACCATATTCTTCTATTTGATGGTAGGCTTATTTTATATGTACTTTTGAGACAATACTGAGGTGTGACAGTATTGTGCCTGAAAATTATTGTATCATAGGCATCACATAAACATGTTGCTGTAGATCTAGAAAGCACTATCTATACAATATTGTTATATTAATAACTAACCAAGACCTACAAAACATTTGTGGTAGTTTTCATGCCCTTCACTTGAATTTTCCTTATTCTATCATTTTCATGCATGGCATTAAAGCTACACTTTCTTGTAGGCATTATGTGTTAGATTGAGAAATCCTGGTCTATTTGGAAACATTTTACATGGTCAGACAACCAAACTCATGTAGACACATTTTTATTTAATAAAACTATACATACATAACTTTATTTAATAAAACTACACTTAAAGTAAACAATAAAGTACAGTAATTGTATTTATAATAGTGTACAGAGTAGGAAACAGTTATGAGCATTCAGTACATGGCATGATTTTATGAGTTGAAACAAAGAAACACAATAATGAAAAACAAAACGTGTGCTAAAGAAAAATATAGCTAAAACAGGTTTATACAAAATGAACGAAGCTAAATTATTGCACAGTAAGGTAAATGTAAGGTTGTAATGATAAGCATGATAGTTTTAACAAACTGCACATGTGTACGTTAGGCCTAAATAAATGAAGAAAGCCCATAGCAATTGTATTTAGTGTAATGATAATTTTGTTTTACAAAATTACACGCAGGTTAAATTGTGTGAAATACTTTGCAAATAAAAAATTTGACAAAGCAAAAAACATGTAGGGTGATTCTGCATAGAAAGGCCAATATGCAATCTGGGATACTCACTCAAAGGTCTTTTTAACAATGTAAGATTTATTGTGTTTGATCAAGAAATTTCATTGAGAAAAGTTAAGGATAGACAAACACCAGCATATTCTTTATATAGTCTACTAATACATATGTAGTTTAATGAATTTTATTTTGGTGATTACTTATATAACTCATTTCCAAAGAAAATTTGAGAGCAATAATATTTTAGGCAACTTTTTACTTCTTAGTAAAGTTAAATAAAAGATAAAATAGTACCTTTGTTCCAAAATGGTCAAATAACACAAACTTCATAAAGCTAGTTAAACACCTGCATATGTAATTCAAAATTCATAATACCCTTTAGGTAGAATTGTTTGAGAAAACTAATAAGAAGTATTAAATTCCTGTATGTATCTGCCAGAATGTTGAAAGCTAAAGTTGTGAAACTATAATATTTCATATACATAATAAATTACAGAATCCTGCTTATCTTTTAACTAGCAATAGTTTACTAACTGTTTCACACATAACTGGTGTGATATACTAAGATATATGTACAGGTATAGCCTTGTATTAGAAGTGGTTGAAGTAATAAATAATAAATATATGATTTCTGTACATTTAAGTAAAATGCCCTGTATTTTGCATACATTTTAAAGAAGAACATTAAAATAACTGCAAGAAGCATTTTTAAGAATCGGTAATATATTAATGAAACATTACAAACATATTTTGTTACACAAGAAAAGTATATGAACAATGAAAAAGTGCTTCTTTATCTTACTCTCTAACATAGTTTATATTAGCAGGTCCTATGAATAACAAATTCCCGAGAATGTTTTGAAGGTTTGTGACGTGTGTTGGTTTTATAAATGTTAATTGAAGCTTGTAGCTTCAAGCATGATTCCCTAAACATCAATATCTCATAAAGTTAAGAAAAATGAAATCAGATATTTATGTAATGAGTTTTTGTAACTTTATTGTAATAGTTTAAACTCATTATTCAACTTCTTTTTTTTTCAATAGTTTTCATAAAGATGACATAGATAATTTTTTTTATGATTATTATATTTCAGATTGATGATGAATTACCCTACAGCAATCATGGCATTGCTTATATGGACTTGTCACCTCTACTTTTTCCAGGTGGTGAGTACAAAAACAATTTAGTTTTAATTTTTATGAAGTGTTTTTAATCCATGTTATTTATAAAATCGTAGACTTTTGTGAGCATTACACATTCATACACACCTTTGTGAAAAGTGAGATTATTGAAGCTTTTTAAGAATTTGGGTTATTGATAAGTTAATATTTCTTTAGTGTTACTTTTATTAACAGTTTTATTATCTATTATTTATTATTATTAAACAAGTAGTTTTGCATTGTTAACATAGAGTATAAATTTATGACTAACTTAAATCTACTGATGTGGCCAAACTTCACTAGATATTATTTGGTTTATGGCAAAAAGTATCATTAACAGTGAGGGTACCCAACTGATGAAACAATGCATTATGGGAAAGAATGTTAGAATAGTATATTTAATTAGTTATACTCTTTACCAGTTTCATGGAAGTTAACATTAAACTGTAATCTTTATGGGAAAGAATGTTAGAATAGTATATTTAATTAGTTATACTCTTTACCAGGTTCATGGAAGTTAACATTAAACTGTAATCTTTATGGGAAAGAATGTTAGAATAGTATATTTAATTAGTTATACTCTTTACCAGGTTCATGGAAGTTAACATTAAACTGTAATCTTTATGGGAAAGAATGTTAGAATAGTATATTTAATTAGTTATACTCTTTACCAGGTTCATTTGTGCTTGTAGTAGGTAGTTTGTGCTAATTGGAAGTTAACATTAAACTGTAGTTGCTTTTCCTATGTTCCTTATAATTACTCCATTGTGTATCTTAAATGAAGAGGCATGTAAAATAGCATTTCTCAAAGTTGTTTGTTTATTCTTTTCTGCACTTGTTCTAATATTAACATTCCATTCAGCCAAACCTTCAAATTTCTTTTGATGATATAGTCCTTCACCAGCTGTCTTCTGTTGTGGAAAAGAACCTATGGAAAGCAGGTAGAAATCCAACATAGGGTAGATCTGCCAGTAGGGTTTGGAAAAATCCTCTTATTGCACATACCATGTTCCCTAGCCCTGCAGAACATGACAATCTGACCACAGTGCTGGTGTTCTATTGACACTGTCATTTCTAAAGGTTGTCATTATTGTGTGCCTGTTGGATAATCTGGCAACCTCAAATTGATCTGAAAGAAAAGTGAACAACAAGGTAACATGGTCAATGTATGAGTATCAGTTATCTCACCAGCCTTGTCACCATGTGACAAACAGAGGATTAATGCATGCACATGCTAAATGTGTCAAGCGTACAATGGGTCACTCATTTGTTATATACACCAAGTTATTTGGATGAGCAATTATCAGTAAAGAAACTCTTGTCACAGACTTACAGCAATGTAGAACCTCTTTTTCTTATTACCACAGTTTTGGTGGAGGTATTTGCAAGGTTTCTGATGGAATACCAAGAAAGCCCTGGTCCACTAATATGTACTTGAAATACCCCACAAATCAGGCTGGAATTATTGAGCCAACAGTTAGGATATTCATTTGATTAAGAAATCGGTGGCTGGAAAGGGTACAGACAGAATGGAGGTGGTGTGAGTACACTGCTGGCCCACCATCCCAAGGAAGTACTGAGTTTTAAAGGACCGAAACTTCCATTGATGAGTGGCACTTAGCTTATGATCCTGCTGGTGTCAGCACTGAAGGCAGTTATAATCTTTAGCCTTTGCATATTGAATGGTGTGTGATGGTGAGTTTAGTGATAAAGTGTGTATAGTGGCAATTTTTAAAGTGAAATTATCACAGACTGTATTGCAATAACAGATTAGAAAAGAAGAATTTGTTTTGTTAATTGTGTTCTAAAGTAACTGAACCAATATTTGTGGACTTTGATGAAAAGAGACAATTATTTAAAGCTCTGGATACAACAGTGATAACCAAAAGTATAATGAACATTTGCATATACGTTTGATTTTTTTTTAAAAACAAACAAACTGTATTGCTGTTTTTTTATAGCTGAAATTTATTGCCAATAGGTCACAGGTACCTACTGTAAAGAATCTAGCCTTACAAATCTTGACAACGTGGCGGTTGGAATTGGCTGATCCCTAGATGGTATTACTATTATGTGCCATAAAGGCTTGTGTAGGGGCATTGGTCTGCTTTGACTGAGGTGGTTCAAAATCCAAGAACTTCAAATGTCAAATGCATTGGCCAATAACACATCTTCATTCATGAGCTCTATCAATTGGAGAGTCGATTCCAGTCATCTTTGGCTCAGAGGAGAAGTCTAGCTCCTTGCCAAAAAGAAAGTCACTATCATTATATTTGCTTTCAATTGCAGGGATCCTTGGAGTTTTCAGCACACACAATTTTTGAAACAAAACACTGGCTAATTGAAGAAAAGATAACCAAATGGATGTAGAACTTGATCTCAAATATTGAAGGTCCAGCTTGTAAATGTAAGATTGCTGGAATATAATTGGTCTAAAGGTCAGCTAGGTGTGTAGTTTGAAAAGGTATCATAACATCTAGTTACAGTTATTAACCTCTTATAAAAACTACCTTTAGCAGCTGAGAAATAGATGAATTATCTTAGTGCACTCAATCTAATGTACAACATCTGAGGTTTGTTTAGGGATATTGAGTTTTTATAGTCACATATTTATTCAGCCATTGGCATACCTTTTCTTGTTGAGGCTATTTTTCAAACCAACACCCAGACTTAAAATACTTAGGCAATTAGAGAAGAAGCACACGTGGACCCCACAGAAGTTTCACTTGAGTTTATAATAACCTCAACAATCTCATTCCTCCTTAAAATTGATTTAGATAATCAAATTAACACTGAAGCCTGTGTTATTTTAACATTCAATGGGTTTTCTATCTTCTTGTAGTATTATATTTATTTTCAATTCATTCTTTGTTCTGAATATATGCTGGTGTCACTTAACCATAGGTACCCACAAGAAGGGGCAAGAGGAGGCATTTGTCCCCCTTACATTTCATAAAAAATTACATGTATTATGATGTAAACTTAACATCATAGTTGAATTCAATATTTTTGGAAAGATTTATTAAACTGTAAATGTAAGCACATAGAACACATATTCTTTTATTCTGTTGAATTACATTGCAAAGCTGATTCTCTACATACACGTTTTGCCTCCACTCGTGCACATAACACATGGTCGAGAAAACTGTTAAGTTGATCTTATTTCAAGTTATCTTTCCTCTTCTGTTGTTCCCAAAAATATAAATTTGCCAAGTATGGCTTTATGCGATATGTATTTGTTCATTCTGTATTTTTTACCAACATCTGGGCAGCAATCAGTTGTTGGAATCAAAGATGTGGATAGCATAGAATCTAAGTGTAGAGTTACTCATAAATATAAGCTCATTTTGTTCTGCATAAATGTACAAGACTGTTATGAATGATTATTGTGTTTGACTGCAAATAAACGTGAATTTGTCTATTATGGTTTTTTAATAACTTTTGTTAGTGGCCAAAAAGTTTGGTATATGTTATTCACACTTTTTTTTTTACATTTCAGTGACAAAAGTCAAAGGAGCTTTCCCTGTCGGAGTTTATAGAGAAACAGAGATGTTAGAAATGGTAGAGTGACATTTCACACTTATATGTTATAATTTTGTCTTTTATTTAAAGAACGTTTTCTTTCTAAATATGCTTTAATAATGACAGTGGTACCTGTAACTGCATGGGGAAATGAGTAAAGGTAATGGGAGCACTGATTGGTCTACCAGTTTTTACAGTATGGCTAGATATGTGCTATTAAGTGTGTCTTAATTCTGTGAAATATGACCAATGAAATAGCAACTACAGTTGTATCTTGTAGGGGTAGAGGCATTAATGTCCCAGAAAGTAGCTATCACAAAATTTCTTTTTTCCTGTTAGTTAAATGTTTTAATGTTTTTATATAATTTAAAATCATTTATTCAACTTTTGACACTATGTGTTTTCTACATTGATACGTGAAATTATAATTCTACATGGATGTCAAAATTGTAATGTTTGAGTTTTGTATTTAACATTTTAGTTAGTAAAAACAATATATGCCGAATTTATTTATAACCATAGATAAATAAATACAGAGAAAATAAGAATAAACTAACAATCATCAATCTCTAGAATTTGTAGATCTGAAAAAAACCATTAACCTAAAAGTTATAATGGAAAAATTGGTATAGAAAACCTCATTCTAAAATAGCAGTCATTGAGTTTAAAATAAAGATAAGCTTACTTTAATTAATTAAAAGTAAACTTGATAAATCAGATAAACAAACTAAAATTTAATGAATTTACAATGTTTCACCAGGTTAACCTGGCATCATCAAGTACATATTAACCTGGTGAAATGTTGTATATTCATTAAATTTTACTCTGTTTATCTGATTTATCAGATTTACTTATAAACTTACTTTATTGATGTTACGAAAACTTGTAGGTTCAAGAAATCAATTTAACACTTTTGAAAAGTGAACCTTTCTTCTTCTGGTACATTCCAAGATTGTCTTTTAAGCTTAACTTCCGATACAGTACCTTAACTTCACTGCCTGAAGACAAAGGAAAGACTGACATATGCAAGAAGTGAAAGTAAACTGAACTTTGCACATAATAGATATTAGACAAACCATTAACCTTTATAATTGTATCAACCAGATAAAAGTTGCAGGTTAATAATTACATCGTGTTTTATGTAAATGCTGGGCCAACAGTCATAAAATGTTATCTTTTTTTTGGTCATGAAGGCCCAACAGACTAATAAACCTAATATTGGTATCAGCTAGAAAAACGTCATTTTCATAATATAATGATTTGAAGCAGTTAAAGAGTGCTTCCATGCTTTTCCCTCCACAGGCTTTGATTTATTTTTGCCTTAGCTTATGATCTGGTGGATTGTTTTTTGTTTTCTTGATTCTCTGCATTTATAATCTCTGTTGCCTTAATAATCCTATAATAACCTAATAACCCTGATAATCCTATCCTTTTATCTCTCACTAAGTTTTTCAGCCTTTATCTTCTCCTATCGACTCTCCCACAGGAATTGTCTGCCATGCACCTCCTTTCTTAGGCATTCCACCTATTTCTTGGGAATTTTCATTGAATACCTTTGCATTCCTTACCTCTACTTTGGGGTGATATTGTCTATGGCTCTTTTCCTATACATGTGACTTCTTTGCTTTGGGATCTTCTGGGGTGGTACAGTGTCTTGTACCAACTTTGTTTATCATCCACTTCAACTTGAGATTTACAGCTGGCTCTTTTTTCTCCACTGGTCAGTTTTTTGTTGTTTGTTTTTTTTGGGGGGGGGGTTTACTCCTGTGACTTTAGCATCACATGAGGTATATGTGATGCTACATTCGATTTTCTTTTTTGGTTGCTCGTTTGTCTCATTCTGAGCAATTAAATTCTTTATTCATGTTTCATATCCAGCACCTTCTCATCATTTAACTGTTCTACCTCTAAGGCTTCCTCTATTAGTCATGTATTCTTGATGCAGATTGGACTTCTGTGATTGATCTGTCCCACTTCAATCACTTCTTGGTTCCTTCCCGTTTTACTGTGATGTCGGTTATCACACTCTAGTGGGCCATTTCTCCAGGACTAAGGATGCCCAAGGTAAACATTTTGTATTCTTATACTCTAGTTCCTATTTTTGATCCCTCATGATGGTATCCTAGGTTTTTTTCACCGTGGAGTTGGGTACTAGTTTCACACCCTACCCTTTGATCTTGTTGAGAGATCAGATCTGAGTTTTGCTGACTTCAGCATGGTGTGGGATTGTACTTACACCGTAACTTGTACATTGGGCTTCTGTTAGCTCATTCCGAACTGGAGTTGTCACACAATACTCATCTGCTTCATACACATGCAACTTGGGAGGTTGGATTTTCCAGTTGGAGAAATCTTTTCTCTTAACTACCTAACATTCTAGTCTTTTGGGGGTGTATTTTTTCAACACCCCATCTCCGTTAAACCCATCCTTCTGCTCTTTGACTGCTTCTAATGAAGCTTTCAATTCTCCATGTTGTTATTGTTAAGTGTCTTACTGCTAGTGAGGTTCTATCACATTGGGGGATGTGGCTTCTAGGGAAGCACTTATCCCCTTGGGTCTGGCACATATGTGATCTCTTCAGGGGATGCTGTATGTCCCATGAAATCTTGATAGGGTTCCTTAGGATTCTCCTCATAACTTTCCTCATTCCCTCTTTGATGATATGCATTGGTGGTTGAACAAAGCCCCACATCATCGAGACTGCTTCATCCCCCTCATCTGGATTTGTTTCTCTTCCCTTATGCTTACCTCCAAGGTTGGGGGTGTGTGTGGACTGATCAGCATGAGGCTTCAGGTCAATGGTATGTGGCCAAAAGGTCTTACCATGTTAACTCCCAGGAACTTCCAGCAGTCCAACATGCTCTGATTCTCTTTCTTCCTTTTGTCAGGTTTCAACTAATCATGATCCATTCCAACAGTTTGACGGGGATGGCTTATATCACTCACCAAGGGGGCACCCATTCTAGTTCCCTTTGTTGTCGACCTTGGATCTCCCTTTTTAAGCCCACACACGTGTCATGTTCCAGGTGCTTTCAACCTCGTTGTGGATCCTCTTTCCAGTCCCAACACAATTTATCCCACAGAGTGGTCTCTTGATCCTCAAAAAATTTCCTTCCATCTCCCACGTTTATTCCCAGTCAGATCTGTCCAGGTATACTTAAATTAGTCAAATCCACACTCTAAGACCATTTCACATTTATAATTTCTATGGCCACTAAACACACACTGTTGAGATGGGGTGTTTCACAAGATTACTCGTACCTTTATTCCCAGTCAGATCTGTCCAGGTATACTTAAATTAGTCAAATCCACACGCTAAGACCATTTCACATTTAGAATTTCTATGGACACTAAACACACACTGTTGAGATGGGGTGTTCCACAAGATTACTCATAGGTTTTTTCCACACAATATATATTTGCTTCATTAATATGCCTGTTCCAGACCGTACTAACCCATTGTCTTCATGGGTAAAGCAAGAAGGAATAGCTTCCCATCCCTGCTATTCCTTAGATTGAATAAATCAGAAGTGTTCTGCTTTTAAAAGTAGGGTTTTTCATGATCATCTGTTTTACTGTCTCTGGTGTTGATGTTCCTCTGGACTCCCCCCCCCTTTTTTACTGATGGTGGAGCCCTTACCACTTTCCAGTTCCAAAAACTGGGTTGGTATACCATGAAGGCAATGTGATAGTGATATACAATACAAACAATAATGAATCCATTCAGTTGAGAATAAGACAGTGGTGTTCTATTAGCGTAGATAATGAGATGTCCTTCAATATCTTTTTCCATCTCACAACTGGGTTTATCTGAGGGGATGTTGTAGCTTTGGAGTGAGCCGTCAAAAATTGCAGTTCACCCCTTTAATTGGGATCCCTCATCCTACTCCCCACATGAATGTCAGTTCTTAGTTGGTGGGTTTTGGATTCAAAGCTGGACCAACCAACGTAAGCCCTCACACATGTATCATGAGTGTCTCTGTTCTCTCACACAATTGAACTAGTGTTCACTGCTACCGTGTTGTGGTTTATGATGGATGAACATGCTGGTTCCTATGGTCCTTCTTCTTGCACTTTCCTTTGAGGATTTTCATACACTAAGAATGTTAATGCACTTGGGGAGGATCCTGTCTGACTGATTTTGGGTGAATATTTCACTATACAAGGACATCCTTCTCTTTATGATCGTTCGGATGTCAGATTCCCATATCGGTATAACTTTTTATCATATACCCTGTTCACAGATCAGTGGGTATTTTATCTCTCTCTCTGGTCTACTGAACTTGAGGTGAAGACTGTATGATCCTCTTTCCTACCCCCAAATAGATGTCAGTTCCAGGTGGTTGTGTTTTGGATTGTAGTTGACTTGCCGTCATCGTGACTTCTTTCCTACCCCTACATGTATGTTGGTTCCTGGTTGATGGGATTTGAATTGTAGTTGACTTACTAATGGTATGATGCTCATCCTACCGTCACATGAATTACATTTCCCAGTGGCTGAGTTTTGGATGTGGCAAATACTTTTATTCTTACCCCACATTACTGTCTTCAAGATGGTGTGTTGCACTCCTATTGGTGGAGAGTTGTTGCATGATAATTTACATGCAAAATGCAGTTGAACCACATTTATCATGGGGTACGTGGGAGCTTAAGACTTATGGCATGTGAAAAAATTTGGGAATATAGAAAGCAGCACTGAACAAGAATAGCTACATATGTGAGAGAAGGTAAGTACTTATTGGAAATGCATTTTCAGTATAGGAAAATTATAACTTTAAAATACTGATGGAGTCTGTAACCAATTAGTTTTTAAACACATTTTTTAAAACTGTTTACACAATATACACTATCACAAAAATCATTTAGCACCTGACAAAATCAAACCTCCTAAAATATTAAATATAGCATGAAAATGAATAATTTATTTAACTTATACAGAGTAATACATATATGCTTACATATAAAAATCTTTGTACAAAAGTTTGTAAATGTACTAAATACTTTCTTGATTAACAGCCACTTTGCAGGTAAAGATATC